CTCTGACTTAATCCACTTAGCGTTATACCCTCTAGGTCCATCCATGTTGTTGCAAATGGCAAGATCTCGTATTTTATGGCTGAGTAATAGTCCATTACTTATAGATGTACCACATCTTTGTTATCCATTCATCTATCATTGGACATTTGGGTTGCTTCCATATTTTGGCTATTGTAAATAATGCTGCAATAAACACAGAGATGCATATATCTTTTCAAGTTAGTGTTTTTGTTTTCTTTGGGTAAATACCCAGTAGTGAAATTACTGGATCACGGGGTAATTTTATATTTAATTTTTTGAGGAAAAACCCATACTGTTCTCTACAAAGGTGACACCAATATGTGTTCCCACCAACAGCACACAATGTTTCCTTTTTCTCCATGTCCTCACCAATACTTGTTATTTCTTGCCTTTTTTTTAAGATTCTTTTTATTTATTTATTTGACGGAGAGAGAGACAGCGAGAGCAGGAACACAAGCAGGGAGAGTGGGAGAGGGAGAAGCAGGCCTCCCGCGGAGCAAGGAGCCCGATGCGGGGCTCGATCCCAGGACCCTGGGATCATGACCTGAGCCGAAGGCAGATACCCAGTGACTGAGCCTCCCAGGCGCCCCTATTTCTTGTCTTTTTGATACTAGTTTTTCTAACAAGTATGAAGTGATATGTCATTGTGACTTTGATTTGCATTTCCCTGATGATTACTGATGTTGAGTATCTCTTCACGTGTCTGTTAGCTACCTGTATGTTTTATTTGGAAAAATGTCTATTCGGACCTTCTGCCCATTTTTTAAATCCAATGGTTTTCTTGCTATTCAGTTTTATGAGTTCTATATTTTGAATATCAAACATGTGATTTGCAAATATTTTCTCCTATTTGGTAGGCTGTGTTTTCATTTTGTTGAGAGTTTCTTTTGCCGTGCAGAAGCTTTTTAGTTTAAGGGAGTCTCATTTGTTGATTTTGGCTTTAGTTGGGTTTGCTTTTGGTGTCAAATCCAAAAAATCATCAACAAAACTGATGTTAAGGAGCTTACTATGTTTTCTTCTAGGAGTTTTATGGTTTCAGGTCTTACATTTAAGTCTTTAATCCATTTGAGCTGATTTTGTATATGGTGTAAGACCATGGTCCCATTTCATTCTTTTGCATGTGGCTGTCCAGTCCCAAGAGACTATACTTTCCCCACTGTATGTTCTTGGCTCCTTGGTCATAAATTGACCATCTACGTGTGGGTTTATTTCTGGGCTCTCTATTCTGTTCCATTGATTTATGTTTCTGTTTTTATGCCAATACCACAGTTTTACTATAGTATCATAATATAGTTTGAAATCAGGAAGCATGATGCTTTGTTGTTCTCACTCAAGATTAAGTTGGTCTTGACAGAATGGGAGAAGATATTTGCAAATGACATACCAGATAAAGGGCTAGTATCCAAAATCTATAAAGAACTTATCAAACGCAACATCCAAAGAACAAAAAATCCAGTCAAGAAATGGGCAGAAGACATGAACAGACATTTCTCCAAAAAAGACGTCCAAATGGCCAACAGACACATGAGAAAGTGCTCAACATCGCTCGGCATCAGGGAAGTCCGAATCAAAACCTCAATGAGATACCACCTCACAGCAGTCAGAATGGCTACAATTAACAAATCAGAAATGACAAATGTTGGCAAGGATGCGGAGAAAAGGGGAACCCTCCTACACTGTTGGTGGGAATGCAAGCTGGTGCAGCCACTCTGAAAAACAGTATGGAGGTTCCTCAAAAGGTTGAAAATAGAGCTACCCTGAGCAATTGCACTACTGGGTATTTACCCGAAAGATACAAATGTAGGGATCCGAAGGGGTACATGCACCCCGATGTTTATAGCAGCAATGTCCACAATAGCCAAACTGTGGAAAGAGCCAAGATGTCCATCAACAACAGATGAATGGATAAAGATGTGGTGTGTATATATACGCACACACACACACACAGAGTGGAATATTATGCAGCCATCAAAACAATGAAGTCTTGCCATTTGCAATGATGTGGATGGAACTAGAGGGTATTATGCTAAGCGAAATAAGTCAATCAGAGAAAGACAATTATATGATCTCACTGATATGAGGAATTTGAGAAACAAGACAGGATAATAGGGGAAGGGAGGGAAAAATGAAACAAGTCGAAACCAGAGAGGGAGACAAACCGTAAGAGACTCTTCATCTCAGGAAACAAACTGAGGGTTGCTGGAGTGAAGGGGGGTGGGAGGGATGGGGTGGCTGGGTGATGGACACTGGGGAGGGTATGTGCTATGGTGAGCGCTGTGAATTGTGTGAGACTGATGAATCACAGACCTGTACCCCTGAGACAAATAAAACAATCTAAACAAATAAATAAGTTGGCTTGTCAGGGTCTTTTGTGGTTCTACACAAACTTTAGGATTGTTCTATTTCCGTGAAAAAGTCATTTGAATTTTGATAGGGATTGCACTGAGTCTGTAGATTGCTTTGGGTAGTAGGGAAATTTTAACAATAGTCTTCAAGTCCATAAGCACAGAATCTCTCTCCATTTATTTGTATTTTCTTGTGTTTCTTTCATCACAGTCTTGTAGTTCTCATTGTGCAGGTCTTTTCCCCTCTTGGTAACATTTAATCTTAGGTATGCTCTTCTTTTTGATGCAGTTGTAAATGGGATTGTTTTCTTACTCATTTTGATAGTATATTTTTAGTATGTAGAAACACAATGTCGGTTCATATACTGATTTTGTGTCTTGCAACTTTACTGGATTTATTTATTCTAACAGGTTTTGGTGGAGTCTTTATGGTTTAAACCTAATAATGTTATCAGCAAATAGTGACAGATTTACCTCTTCCTTTCCAATTGGGAGGTCCTTTGTTTTTTGCCTAATTGCTCTGGCTACGACTTCCAATACTATGTTGAATAAAAGTGGCAAGCGTGGGTATCCTTGTTTCTGATCTCCAGGAAAAAGCTTTCAGCCTCACCATTGAGTAGGATGTTAGCTGTGAGCTGATCAAATTTCATAATGCTTACAATAATATTTAGATTGGAACTCGATTGTTGGGGGTCAGTGGCCATGACATTGGTAGGGTGATAAAGCCACACAAGGTAATAATTGAAATAAAAATTTAAAGGTCAACAGAGAATATCTGAATAATATTAGTAATAGTTTAGAACACTTATGGAAAAAATCAGAATATACCATTTTTATTTTTAGAAGTGTTTTTAAAGGAAATTCAAATATATAAGGAAGTAAAAATATAACCCCAGGTATTTGTCACCCACTTTCAACATTCATGGCCAGTCTTGTTTCATTTCCAGCAACCCCCCATTCTCCCCCCAGCTGTCTCTGGATTATTTTGAAGCAAATCCTAGACCATATGATTTTATCTGTAAATATTTCAGTATGTGTTTTTAAAGATTAGGGACTCTATTTAAACTACAATGCCATTATCATATATTAAAAATCCCTAGTATCATTAGATGTCTATTTAGCCATGTATCATTTCCCAATTGTCATATGTAATTTTATATATATCATTTTACTCATTTATATAACATATATATATTTTTTAATCAGGACGCAAAATCCACAGTGTTTGGTTCATTGGTTCGTAAGTTTCTTAATCTGTAATTTTCCATATGTCTGTCTTTTTTCCCTCTTATAATTTCTTGCTTTGAAGAGACTGGGTCACTTATCCATAGGGTTTCCAGAGTCTGAAAGTTTCTAACTGCATTATACTGGTGTAGTTTATGTAATGGTCTGTTCTTTGTGTTCCTTGTCAACTGGCAGATCCAGAAACTTAATCAGCTTGTTTTTGGTTTTTCTTTCGGCAAGACTGTCATAAGCGGCATATAACCAAATGTTATTTTAAAGCTAGTACTGAAAATGGTTTAAGCCCAAATTTTAAAGACATCCAGGTAAATAAAAGGACTCTAATCATAACATACTATGAGGCAGAGGATTAGTAACTTGTCTTTTCTGCAATAGTATACTAGTTGAAATTATCTCCAGCAATCTTCTGCATGGGTGTAAATGCATAAGAGGAATGAAAAGGTATTCTGTAGGTCTAGGAGTCTCCTAGAATCTGCCCTTCATGATTGTAGAGGACACTACAAGCTACATGTTAGGCCTTTATAGATCTGTGCTGTCAGTACAGTAGCTTCTGGCTACTTCGCTTTAAGTTTAAAATTTGAGCTTCTCATTCACACTAACTACAGTGCAAGTGCTCAATAGCCACCTGTGCCTAGCAGCCATCATACTGGATGGCACCGATACAGACTATTTCCATCATCACAGAACATTCTATTGGACAGTCCTATTTTAGATTCTAGAGGGATCACGGAGTGGATAGACTGAAATTTTCTTGGTGTTCAAGCATATTTTCAGTTAATAAGTTTTCTATGAATCTTATAGTTTGGATTTCTATAGTGCTGCCTCTAATGGATAACTACCCTTTTAATATGAATACTGCAGGACCACTCGTCTGTTGGCAGAAACTATGAGAAGTGTGTTTTTGGACAAATTTGTTACAGATACTATTAACGTCTCTCCTATTTTATGTTGGATTTCAGCTTGCTAATAAACATACCTAGATTATATCCAGAAAGCATACCAATAGGTGACAGTATAAACACAGATTAAGCTGAAAAGAAACATGGTGATAGTTGCTATGGTAACATGGTCAGAAACAGACACGTTAAAGATAGATATCCTTAAGTTTCTATTTTACGTCTTTATGAAATGATTTCAGAGTGAAGTTTTATAGCACAAAGAGTGTTATACTGGAAGCAAATTTTATAGCTGGTTGAGAGAAGAATTCCCTCAATTCTAAAGGTTCTGTGGAGAGCCTGCTCTTTCCAAAGGATACCTTTTATCACCTCGATTGCCGGTAAACATTAACCTATTGGCTGCCCTACTTCCCTTCTTGTTGAAGAAACAGTGTACCATTTTTATTTCAATTTGGTTTAAAAATACTTTAATTGAACTCTGCTTAACCTTTTACAGCGGAAGTTCAGAGTGAAATCGAAAGGATTTTTGAACTTGCAAGAACATTGCAACTGGTAGTCCTTGATGCGGATACTATTAATCATCCAGCTCAACTCAGTAAAACTTCTTTGGCCCCTATTATAGTATATGTAAAGATTTCTTCTCCTAAGGTAAGTAGGGTTGTTATTTGCTCTCTAATCAAACCTAACTACAATTGTATATGGTAACAAGCTATATCTCTATCCATCATAAAGAGTTTGATGAGACAGGGTAGTCAAGAGTCTTTAAGATTCAAGCAAGCAAAGTATGATTATTAGTTTCATGGCTTAGAACAGCGATTCCCAAAGTGTGGTCCGTGGTTTCCTGGGGGAAGGTTCTGAGAAACTTCTAGAGAGTCCATGAAGTCAAAATTATTTCCATAATAATACTAAGACATCATTCTCCTTTTTCACTGTTTTGACATTTGCATTGAGGGTGCAAAAGCAATGGTGGGTAAAACTGCTAGTGTCCAGTAATGGAGACAGTGCTCCAAGTTACAACCACCACCACCATCCGGTTTCACGGACGCATGTCCTGAAAAAGTAGTAACGTTTATTAATGTTACTAAATTTTGACTCTTAAATACAAGGCTTTTCAATATTCTGTGTAATGAAACAAATAGCTGAAGCACTTACTTTTACCAGTTAGCTTGAGGACATACAGTGACTATTCAAGTTATAAACTCAAGCAGCCTCTTTTTTCACCATTTTTATTTGAAAGAACTGACATACTGTGTTTATTAAGACTTAGTTATTTGGCAGATATTCTCCCATTTGTCACCAGTGATAATAAAACTCAAGCATTCAAACGAAAATTAAAATTTCAGAAAATTTGTATCCACCTAAGAGCTTCGCTTCTCAAAAGAGAGCCTTTTCTGATGCAATCAATGGTAATAGCAAATATATTGCTTTAATATTGTATAAGAAGTGTGTCAACATTTGGAAGATTGAAGAATTCAATGAACCATTATTTTTCAAATGATTAATGAATGATGTTACAAATCATGCATGTTAGAATTTCAAGATAAACCAATGCAATGTAATTTAACAGTAAGAAAAGTTCATTGATAGGGTTTAATAAGCTTTCACATGGCAACTAGTCTTTAAGAAGCTACTACTTGTTGAGTTTAGTGTAATATCAAAGAACAATATATCCACAGTTCCTGAAAAGGCTACTACAATACTCCTCCTTTTCTGAATTACCCATCTGGAGAAGGATGGATTTCTTCACATTATTTCACCCAAAACAAGACACTGTAGCAGGTTAAATGTAAATGTAGCTAGGAGACTTTGGTTTTTTTATGAAGCCAAGCATATTAGAGAAATTTGCAAAACTGTAGATATTTTTTACAAAAATAATTTGTTAAAATATAACAGGTTTATCATTCATTTTTAAAAATATTTTCAATTGTAGTTTCTACTATGGTAAACATTATACTTCACATAAACAAAAGCTCTTGGGGTTCTCAATTTCTTTAAACATAAAGGAGTCATGAGACAAGTTTGGTAAGAGTCAGAATAAGCTCCATGCTAGTTATCTTCTTTAAAGTCTTTTTAAAGCTTGCAACTGAGATTTATACATTTTATAGCTCCATCTATTATAAACCATTTGTGCTATATGTAAAAAGGCCCTAGAGTGAATAACAAACTTTGTTCTTTACCCAAGTGCAGATAATCTTCTGTTAAATCTTATCTTTCACAGGTTTTACAAAGGTTAATAAAATCTCGAGGGAAATCTCAAGCTAAACACCTCAATGTCCAGATGGTGGCAGCTGATAAACTGGCTCAGTGTCCTCCAGTAAGTCATCTCTGTATACAGTACACTCCACCCTGGAATTATGTTTAGAAAGCAAGCAGGCAATAACCAGACAGGTAAACAGGCGTCGGGGGAGAGAATTCTCCCCACTTAGCCATGGTCTTCATTCCCAACTGAACTGTCCTACCTCCTCCCATGAGCATTGGTCTAGATCATGGCTTACAAAAAGCTCCAGTGCATTCGGTGGTGACCTCGCTTTGTTAACATCTAATATGTAACCTAAATGAAACAAGATTATGGTTTCAAAATTTGGTTTATAAAATGGATCTGTTTGGGATTTATTATTTGCTTCTAATAGTTACCAGTTCTTAATAACTGAGAAATTGAGACCATGTAAAAAAAAAATTTTTTTCCCTCTAAACAATCAAGTTACCTAGCTTCTGATACCTGAACACATGCCTCCTCCTGATCCTACTTTACATATCATGCTTTGGGACTATAGAACACCTTTAAGTTTTTGTTTTGATATGCAGATGTAACAGAAGCCATAAGAATTATATTTTTTACCGCTTGGCATATTTTGAAGTTTGGACCCTGTCAAACTATCAGTGGTTTCAGTTTTTTTCTGCCAAATTTCATGTCCTAATCTTGCCTCGGTAATTTCCAAGATTAAGGAAGTTTTTCATAGTCTCTGTCAAAACCAGGCTTCTTCCTGTACTGTCCAGATTATGTTTTTTTCTACCTCTTTTTTCTATCATGTCCTAAACAACTATCATTAGTTGTTCACTTTTTGATCATTGCTACTGGTTAAGCATTTAGGGTTGTGAGCAATGATCTGAAGTAGACAGATGCAATCTGACTCAACAGGACATTCAGCCAGTCTGAAAAGGAGAAAGTAGGAGCACACAAGCAAGTACAAAGTGGTGCAGCTCATGAGCCCCTTCCTTTTGTGAGTGTGGGTGAAACTCACTCAGTGCTGGCTGGTGTAAGTGTGTCATCGGAAATGTTTGCCGCTGCAGGAACTGTTTGACGTGATCTTGGACGAGAACCAGCTTGAGGATGCTTGTGAGCACCTTGCCGACTATCTGGAGGCCTACTGGAAGGCCACCCACCCTCCCAGCAGCCATCTCCCCAACCCTCTCCTTAGTCGTACTTTAGCCACTTCAACTCTGCCCAGTAGCCCCACTCAAGCCTCTAATTCACAGGTAAGAGGGGCTCCTTCTTAAGCCTTAACTAGGCTGCCTTAGGTCACCTGGCTGGGATCCAAGCCCAGTTACCCAGCACATTGCCTGTTACATTGAGTCATTTAGTGTCTTCAACGTGACTTCTGTACCCATAAGAAAAACTGGGTAAACAATACACTACAAACATATATTAAACTCCCTAACTACATGTCCTATAAGACATGGATAGTATTTTTCTACACTGTCAGTAGGACAACCATGGAATCGGACTGCCTGGGTTCCAATCCCAGCTCCACCTCTTACTGGGTGTATAAGGTTGGAGAAGCTGCTTACCTGCCCTTTGCCTCAGGAGGACAACCTGTCTCCCAGGGCTGCTGCATTACTGAGTTAATACAGAAGACTAAGTGCTATGTAAGCATCTGATATTTTATTTCTTCCCCTTAAGCCAAAGCCAACATCTTTCTTTAATCTTCCCACAAGTATTCACACAGAGGTCGTGAAATGTACACTTGTGTGTAGAGAAATCTTAGGGACCTGTATCTGATTTGAACCCCGGGAGAACATATAAAAGGATGCCCTCCCCCCTTCATTTATTCATAAGGGGAAAAAAAAAATTCTGGTATAATATAGTATAAACCTAGTAAATGCCACCAGATGTCATCAAAAGGAGTAAGTAACTGAGTTAGGTTAGATTTCATTTTCGAAACTCACAAGGGAATAACCCTGAAAGGGCGGCCTTGCTCTCATGACATGTTAGTTCTTTACACGCGGACCTTGGTTGATGCCTGTGTTTGCTCCCTTCCCCGCCAGGCTTCTCACGGCGATCAGAGGACTGAGCGCTCGGCTCCTGCCCGCGCTGCCTCCCAAGCTGAAGAGGAACCCTGCCCGGAACCCGTCAAGAAGCCCCAGCACCGGTCCTCTTCCTCCGCCCAGCACCACAGCCATCGCAGTGGGACAAGTCGAGGCCTCTCCAGGCAGGAGACATTTGACTCGGAAACCCAGGAGAGTCGAGACTCTGCCTACGTGGAGCCGAAGGAAGATTATTCCCACGAACACGTGGACCACTATGCCCCCCACCGAGACCATAACCACCGAGATGAGCCCCACGGGAGCAGTGAGCACAGACACAGGGAGTCTCGGCACCGTTCCAGGGACCCGGATAGAGAGCAGGACCACAACGAGTGCAACAAGCAACGGAGTCGGCATAAATCCAAGGATCGCTATTGTGACAAGGACGGAGAAGGCATCTCCAAAAAACGGAACGAGGCTGGGGAGTGGAACAGGGATGTTTACATCCGCCAGTGACTTTTGCCCGTTTGTGTGTGTTTTTTTTTTTTAAGTCTTGTATACCACCCCCCCTCAGACTCAATCTTTGGGGTCACTGCAGTCATATGTGATCTGTCCTGTATACTTTGTATTGCTGTTGCTTGAAGAGCAATAGCATGATAGAGAGTATTAATATACTTTTTTTTTCTTTTGTAAGTGCTACATAAATTTGCCTGGTATGGCTGCAGACCTCCGGTTGTATACTGGACTTTTCAAAAACTGTTTGGGATCGCTGCCACTTGAACAAAATCTGTTGCCATCCAGGTGGCATTAGTTAAATTTTAAGAAACATAGTTGATGTTTTCAAAAATGTAGTTAATGTATCCAGCAAGCCAGAACTGGCCCAGGTAAAAAGTGGAATTTCTTGATTCTCCAGATTTTTAATATGTAGGTACCTGATTTGCATATTCATTTAACCATGGACCACTGTCTCTTGCTTGTACCTCGGGCTGACTAAATTTGGGGACAGATTCAGTCTTGCCTTACACAAAGGGGATCATAAAGTTAGAATCTATTTTCTATGTACTAGTACTGTGTACTGTATAGTTTGTAAATGTTATTTCTGCAAACACCTTCTTATGATAATTATATATATAATATATATATACATATATATATATCAGTTTGATCACACTATTTTAGAGTCTTAATGCCAAGTCAGCAGATTTGCTTTATGAATTACAGGGACTAGAAATGCCCACCTTCAGGAAATTTGTAATATCGTCTAGACACCTATCCCCATTCTAGTAGAAAGGCTGTACATACTGTAAATACGTGTGATTGCCTGACTTGAAAAGGTTTGATTTCTGAATGTTTTACCATCCTTGTAAGTTTATAATTTTGACCATAAATTATGGTATAAATATAACCAAACTCCAAAGGTTGTTCTAATCCATGCAGTTCACACTGATTGTGACACACACATTCTTAGTAGCTAGTGTCTTATGTCACTGCACTGGAGTTTATGAGCCGGACCTCCGTATGCAAGTGTGTCTGTGTGTACGAGTGTGTAAGAGTGACTGAGCTGGAGCTGAGCGCTCAAGACTCGAGACCGATATACTTAGAATTCTACCCACCTGGCTTTGTATTTAATTGTGCTACATGTTGCTTTGAGAATCCATTGAGCAGTCAGGGAATGTGAGGAAGCTTGCTGCCAAAGGTGACTAGGAAGGCATTCATCCGCTGGCTCCTTGTTTTTGCTCCTAGAGAGGAGAAATACAGGCAACTTTTAACTGTGAGTGTTTCACTGGAAATGTACAATCTTCGTGTGTTTGAGTATTTGTTTCAGTAAGAAATGTTTACACAGCTTGTAGAATTATTTCGTGGGAAAATAAATTTTTCTAACTTCTCCCACCTCCTCCTTTTCTAACCTTGCCTATGGTTCCTGCTGTTTATCTCCCTTCAGTTTCCCCCTTCATTCCATTCCCTGCCGCCAACTCCCAACAGTTTCGCTGTCCATCAAAACCTAGAAGTGCTTCTTATAACCAAAGTTTCTGCTCTTCAGAAGTAATCAGGGCAAAATGAGGTGACTTGAAGTGAACAAAATGTTAAGAATCTCTTCCTCCATTAGACATCTACTCTGAAGGGGAACCCAGAAGATACTATTCTCCATGCCTCAATTAAAGCGCCGTAAGCAGCTCACAGTGTGGTTGTCATGCTAAAGGCTAAAACCGCCTTCTCCTTGTCGCTATGTGTACATTTTGTCCAGTCATGACTGGACAGGTAAGACAGTATGAGGTGTGCAAGTACCCAGCACCTGAAGTTTGTCCCTGGAAAATGCCGAGCTATAATTGCCTCACTTCGGATCTGTACGTTATGAAATTATTATTTTGTTAAGTTAATCTATTTGTTTTGCTTCTTTGATTATTCCAGGTTCTTGCCAAAAATTCTGGGACCTTTCTAAGTAAACTGTTTCACATTTAACTCCTTATTTCCCTTCCCCTGCAAGAAAACTCAGTTTTAAAAATGAGTCACATTTGAAGGGTCTTATCAGCTAATAGAAGGAACATTTTCCTCAGAATTAATCTTTTTGTTAATTAGCTCTGTACTGTTGACAAATTTATTTATTGAATATAAAAACAGTAGTCATAATATATACATTTTTGATGTAAAATATTCATATCATTGGGAAACCATATTCCAGTTAAAGTTACTTGTATAAATATTTCTGAAAACTTGCATCCCAATTAATGACTTTGGGATATTTAAAACTCTTTAAGTATAACTGGTATTTATCTTACATGCTGCTACCACTAATCCCTCTCAAAGAGTCATGCTAATAGATTCCAGTTTTAAAACTTTTTAACCTGGATTCTTAATTTTTCACTTTACTGTGAAACATATTAGTCCAAATCAGAGTATTCCTCAAAAAACTATATTGCAGGATTTGACACTGAGCATCTGTACGTGAAAACTGTATAGCAGGCATATGTGTGAACAGTGTGTACTCAATTTGTAAATGAAGAAATAATCCCAAGGGCAATGGGAGATTTTACTGACTTGTGGAATGTAAAATTAGTCTTTTCACTCAGCAAAGGCTTAACCTTAACCTACTCAGTTGTAGAATCATGATCTTTGTAGTCAACCTAGAAAATGCTGGAAATGGAACTGTTCTTAATAGTTCTGTGTTTTGTCAAACCCATTTCAGTTTTTCCTATGCTCTTTCCCTACTGCTCATTTAAGTTACTGTTACAAAAAGGTGCTGCTAAATGTAGGATGTCTTAGTCATATTGTACTTTGGGACAATGCCACATTTTTAACATGGTCTGCTATGCATTCCTGTTAAACATTCACTGTCAGCTACACTGAACTGTTCAACAAATCTGGTTTAAAGTCATTCATATAAAACAAATAAAGAGCTGGCTTTCTGCACTGTTTATTAGTAGTAGTAGTATTAATTGCCATTTTAGGAATGATTCTTAAAGTTGAGAATATGTCAGATTTTCAACACTTCCCACGGTGGAGCATCTATCTTAAGGGCAATGCTAATCCCTAAGGTTACTTAAGCGATTTCCCATTATGTCTGATAAAATGCTAGTTTACAGAAGGTAAAGATCTTTTAAAATAGTCGAGTGAGCTTTCTCCCACCTTAATTCACTGTGTGTGGCAATTCTTGATTTTTTTATTCTTCCTTCATTCTTAAAATTAAGATCCATCTTGATGACAAATTTAAATCCTCACTCTTACCCGTTTGCTCAATGATACAATGCTGATAGTCTTGGATACTCTCATCTTATTAGTAATATATCAAGAGTCACACAGAGAAAATAGGTAACTAGATGATTCTAGGCCAGTTATTTAATTCTGGCTATATTATATTTGTACTTCACCCTACTATTTAAAGTAAAATGTGGCACAGGGTTTTGAAGTAAAATGTACTCACTGTTAAATTGAAGTTTTTTTGTTTCACAGAAATATCTATGTTAACCCTGAAATATGTTGAGAGAATATATTCTTTTTCTCCACATTTCCCAGATTTTTCCCCTTTTTATTCTTTTTCTTAACTTCGTGTCCCTTAAGATTGTGTCTTATTTTCCAATTTGCCCGATTTTTGGAAGGAATGAGACCTGCTGAAAAGGTCTTTGTCAAAGCCAACATTTTTGAAATTATTCTTTGTCCTCCTGTTAATATGCAAATATTTTTTTGTTTTGCCTGCATCGCTTAGTATTTTGCTATTTGTCAGTATCAATCAACAGTTTACATGTCTACCGCTCGTCTCCCTGTCTACGATTTTCAGCTGAGCATGTAAGGCTTGGAAGAGAGCATGAGAAGACGTGCATTTTTTAAAACAAAGTTTGGAGAAATGTGCGGAGCCCTAGAAACGGAATTACATAGGTCAACAGTGCTTCTCTTTAGTCCAAGAACATCTACTGGATAAAAAGGCAGAATGAGGGACATAAAGCAGTCAGTCACATACTTGAATCTTTTGGAGCTTGAAATACCTTATCCCTCATTGAATAAAGCATGTATTGATGATCTGCTCTAAAGCAGTGAGAGAAAAGATAGGGTTCCTGCCTCCGAGACTTTCCGGGGCCTGGGGGATGGGAGGGGTAAGAAGCATGCCTATTAAACTAAGAGTGAGTGTGTTCAGTGCCATGAGGGCAGTAGAAGTGGTTCCTAGGGGTGTATGGAAGGACAGAAATGCCTAAGCCAACCTCAGCGAAGGATGTTCAAGAAAGGCTTCCTCAAAGAAGAGGCCTGCTAAAGATCTTACCTGATCTAAAAGACCTTGCCATCTTGATGGACACAACAGTCAGGAGAAATTCCTAACAGAAACCTTGGAGGACAAAAAAAAAAGAAACTACTATTAGGGAATTGTTCCCAATTGTCCACCTTATTTATATACCCAAGGCTGAGAAACTCGGGGGTGATCCAAATGAAAGTTAAAACATTTAAATGTATTTAACACTATATGAGACAGCCTTTAAACTGGGCTGGGTATTGAGTATTTTAACATGTCTTATCTAAAAAGCAGTAGGATGAAGCAAGCCAAAGGTTATAATTTTTAATAAAAGCAGTCACATGTTGGCTGCTAACAGTGGGATGTTTGGTCACTTCTGCAGTTAAGGGGATGTTTGTGTTTTTTGTTGGATTCTAGATTTTGATTATGAAGTGGTCTTTTTTTTGTTGTGATCTACTATATTCACAGTTGCTTTGTCTGTGTTGGTGTTCAGTGAATTTATGTTCAAGAGAACACCAAAGTGTAAGTGCCAAGCCAGTTCCCAGCTACCAGAAGCTGGTTTTTTCCATCTCCCCAGTCATATCACATTAACTTGTATAAATAGATGTTCCGATGGATGATGAAACGTACCCAAATTGTGGAATATTCTCATAATTTTAATGTACAGAGTGAAGAAAGTATTTGTTTTAGGTTTTTAAAAGCATGAAAAAAAGTAAACATGGTAAAGGCACACTACTATTTAGAAGAGATCTAGACTTCATTTGAAAGAGTTGATTTAAGGGGCACCTGGATGGCTCAGTTGGTTAAGCATACAACTCTTGGTTTCAAGCTCAGGGTCGCGAGATCAAGCCCAGTGTCGTGCTCTGTGCTCAGCACAGTCTGCTTGAGATTCTCTCTCCCTCTCCCTCAGCCCCTCTCACTCACGCTCTCTCAAATAAATCAATAAATCTTAAAAAAAAAAAGTTGATTTATCATATAGTAAACAGAAAAACTGATAAAATGCTCAACTCAGTTATGGGTACATGGAAAACAGAGTTCCCATACCCTGAATTCTTAGGGAACCACTTTAGGAACTCAAGAACATTTTTTACCAAATTAAATTATTGCTCATTTTATTCCTTTGTTACAATCACAAATTTTAACATTAAAAATGACTTACATTCTTTACACATTAAAACACAAAACCCCAAATGAAAATATGCTCCAGATATCCATAGGCATCTCCTTTTCCTTTTACTGTGCTAAATCCTTAAGAAAAAAATTACTTAAAAAACACAGAATATAATCTCATACCACCCCCAACTACTTCCTCCATGAACTAATCTCTTGGTCAAATCTCTTGGTCCCTGGTCCAACTGCTGATAGTCTTTTCTGCTTCCTTAGCAACTATGCCATCCATCACCAGGCCCGACAACAGCTGGGTAAAAGAAAAAAAAAAAAGAAAACCATACAGCAAACGTTTGGAATTTTTATTTCTAAGGATCTATGTGCTTTTGCATTTTATGAATTTTGCAATAAAAAACCCTATACAATCCTTATTTGCCAGCCAAATCATGTCTTCTATTCTGGCATCTCTGAGAGAATCAATGTCAGTGTCCTGTAATGGCACAACAGATGGATCAAATCGCTGCAGCTGTTTCAATTGTTCCAGTGAGAGGCCAGCTCCCACCATTCCTTCTCCTCCAATATGTGGGTCCTGTTTGGAGAAAATGAGAAGATGTGAACATCCTATCATTGGTAAGTGTGCCTGCATACAATTTAAGTTAAAAGACGAAACTGAGGTATAAGTATCACCAATTCCAAAAACAGACAAATGGTATCTCTGTGGAATGGACATGCAGTTTTTCTGGGTAGTAATATATGGTCATCTGATACACTGAGTATCTATTATGACCCAAATGCTCATCAAAAACTGCAGCTTTGCCACATTTTTGCTGTGTGATCTTAAGTAACTTTAACTCTGTTTCCTCATCTATAAAACAGATAAAATACTCAGTTCTAAGACTTTATTTAATAAGGTGGTAGTATGCCTGGCATATAGTGGTCACTCGGTAAGTGGATCATTTTTATCAATAACAGCAATAAAATTCAGCTTTATTATCACATTCCCCAAAGCTGACGGGAGTTCCTCAGGCACCTAAAGGTGACTTTCTCTGACCCATACCAACTGGATGATAAAAAATTCCTATTGTTGTTTTTGAATGTACTAGAACAAATATTAGAGATAAATTAAGGCTGCGTCAATTAGTTTAGAATACAGAATCATAAGGAATTGAGTGATATGTGTGAACCACGACTGCACAAGATCCATAATCCTAAATATAATTGTTATGTTTAATACTTATGTATTATTAACCTACTGTTTATTAATCCGGGGGGGGAATTTCTCTTTTAGGTATAATTGAGTGTATATCCATATACTGAATGTATATGCATACGTACACACACACACACACACACACACACATAAAATTCAAGTGAATTCTGAAGTCTTCCTTTCCTCTACAATGCAATTACCTTCCTTTCTGAGTCTAGAAACCATCTCTGGATTGCTTTTTATTCATACATTCCAATTACCTAACTAGAATTCTGTATAGGAGGGTACTGAAGTTAGATGTTCAATGTATCTAACTGAATGTGAGCATTATTACAGATTTACACTTCATCCCAAACATCATGGGTTAAAAATATAGTCATACTTTTGACAAAAACTGAGACAGGTGAAATAAAGTATAAGAAAGCTTTTTAAATGTTAGATATTTTATGTCAGAAGCCATAAGGAAGCAATATTACTGAACCATTTGTCCCCCCTTGGTTAGCCCTGATGTGACTTGCGAAAAAATGGTGAACATACTCCATACCAACACAATCTAGGAATAGGAGGGGAAAAGAACCAACAACTTTTTAGAAAAAAAAAAGATAAACAAGAGCCACAAGTGAAAGAAGTATGTAACACGAGTACACTTGGGCTCTGTGGCATTTTAACACAATGGCAAGGAACGAAAACAGAGAAAAACTTTGTTAGGATGTGGAAATTCTCTCCGGACAGTCTAAAACAGATCTCATTAGAGAAGCATTCTTGTTTACTGCAGTATTTGTTTCCGAAGTTTTGCTTGACATAGTTCTTCCTATAACAACCTTGTGTTTATCCCCACACTCAGCTTTCTGTAATTTGTCAGATTACACAGAGAAAACTGAAATTATTCTTACCTGGGGCTGAAGCTGAAGGTAAGGAAATGTTCTGAGGGCCCAGGCAACCTGTTCTTCGTTTTCTGCCAGCGTGATGGTGCATGTGCTATAAACCAGCACGCCCCACGGCTTCAGCAGCTCAACTGCCTAAAGAAACATGATCAGACTCTGTGTATCACAAGGCAAAAGCAACATTTTATGGGATTTTAGATCGACAGGATACCACCTTTCAAGTGTTTGGGATAAATATTCCATATGACCAAGATTTGTTCTCTAATTAGAGTGTTCCAGACTAGGTACATTTCACTATCTTGGAGCTGTTATAATCCATTTAAACCAAGACTTTCCCGAAAATATTCATTCAGTTTCACTGCTTTAGATACCACTTTTTGTGTCCAAAACTCACACATGCACACTTTTTAAGCCATACTCCTTTCTGAACTCTGTACTCATGTATTTACTTGCCTTCTCCATATGTCTGCTATCAAATTCAACAGGTCCCAAAGTGAACATCTATCTTCCCTCCGAGACCTATTAGAGATGTGCTATTTTCAGGCCCCAAACCTGATACTATCTTTTATGCCTCCCTTTCTCTCACACTCCCCATCCATTGGCAAATTCTACTGGCTCTTCCTTTAAATTCTATCCAGAATTTGGCTCCTTCCACTGCTATCATCCTGGTCCGAGCCCCACTGTCTTTGGCCTGGATTACTGCAGCCTCCCTCTTAGTCCACCTGCTTTCTTGTCTGCCCTCCTATAACCTCTTCTCCATACAGCTGCCCGGGCAGTGTTTTTAAAAACTTGTCACTTCACGCAAAACCCTTCAAATGCCCTGACTTATGACTCGGAGTCAAAGCCCAAGTCCTCACAGGGGTTTTCCAGGCCCTACCCAGAGCAGGCCTCTGGCTGCCCTTCTGACCGCACCTCACACATCTCGCTCACTCTGCTTTAGCAACACTGGCCTTTGCTGTCCTGGAGTACACACGGCACATTCCCGCCTCAGAAGCGGCGCACGAGCTGGGAAACTCCAATTCTCTGCACGGCTTCTTCACAATGTCTTTGGGTCTCTGCCGCCTTTCCAGCACCTGACCGTCCCAGGTAACACTACAACCATTCAAAGCTAGCACTCCTATCCTCCCTTCTTTAGTTTGCTCCATAGGGTTACTGCTCTGTTACTATACTTAATAACCTAATTCACCTTATTTTCCTCCCCAGTTAGAATAGACACCCCATGAATAAGTCAGAGATTGTTATTTTTTTCACTACTATATTGATAATACTCAGAATAGCATATATTACATTATGGTTAGGTGTTCAGTGAAAATCTGTCCAGTAAGTAAGTGAATCAGGAAACCAGTATTATAAGAAAATGAGTTTTTCCCAACTAAGAGTTTATCTTTTTTTAACATTTTTTTTTTCATTTATATATTTGTCAGAGACAGAGAGAGAGAGAGCGTGCATGAGCAGGGGGAGTGGCAAGCAGAGAAGCAGGCTCCCCACTGAGCAGGGAACCCAACGTGGGACTTGATCCCAGGACCCTGGGATCATGACCTGAGCCAGAGGCAGACGCTCAACTGACTGAGCCACCCAGGCGCCCCTAAGAGTTTATCTTTTCAAAGTCCCAGATATTTAAAAACATTTAAAGAAAATCTTTAAAATATATACTATACATAGTATACTACTATATATATACACACACACACACGTTAGTTACATAGTATATAGAAGTAAAACTATATAACACATAGTATACTATATATACTGCATATAGTATGTTTTTATCATATATAGTATATATTTGTGCTTTAACTAGAGTAGGCTGATCAAAATTTAAACTGTTACTGTGTGCCAGTTATTGTTGTAAGCATTTTACATGGATTTTCTCAATTTACTCACAACCATGTGGTATGGTTACTACTGCCAATGAGGTGAACCTATTAGGTAGACTTATAATCCCCATTTCTCATATATGGAAACCAATGTACCTAAAGTCACTTATGTGGAAGAAGCACAGCTCCAAACAAGATGTGTGTGATTATAAAGTCCACATTCTCAGCTAATGCCTCTCAGTGCTAACTGGCAAACCTGCTATATTTTAAAGTCTCTTTTGTACACAGCCAGCTGTTCCTCTTCATTGCAATCACTGCAACTACTAAGTAGCCTTTTAAAATTTTCTGCTCGGACCTAAAAAGAACAAAAAGCTCAGTCTTTTAAATTTTTTTTTTAAAGATTTTACTCATTTGTGAGAGAGAGAGAGAGAGAGAGAGAGCGCGCACACGTGCACAAGCAGGGGGAACAGCAGAGGGAGAGGGAGAAGCAGGCTCTCTGCTGAGCAGGGAGCCCGATGTGGGGCTCGATCTCAGGACCCTGGGATCAGGACTTGAGCTGAAGACAGACACTTAACCGACTGAGCCACCCAGGCATCCCAAAAAGCCCAGTCTTTTATAACAGTGTCTTGGGGCACCTGGCTGGTGCAGCTGGTTAAGCGTCTGACTCTCGGTTTCAGCTCAGGTTGTGATCTCAGATGTCGGACTCCGTGCTCAGCGTGGAGTCTGCTTGAGTTTCTTTCTCCTTCTCTACCTCTTCCCCCTGCTCCCCAATCTCTCTGTCTCTCTCTAAAAAAATAAATAATAAATGTTTACTGAAACGGTGTCCTAATTTTACTCTCAAGTTAAAGTGGGTTTCAGCTATAAGTAAAGCTTCCTTTTTTTTGCTGTTCACTTCCAGGTTGTGTTCTTTGAAGACAGTACAGAAGAAATAGTTAAATAATCTACTACCAGTGCATCCTTTGTGTATAACAGGAGATACTAGACAGATAAGCAAAAATGTACTTGAAGACAACTTTAGAGACTGAATAATTACAGTGCATCCATTATTGCTGAAGCTTATGTACTTATAATTACAGGGCTGAGGGGAAATGATAACGTCATCTTTGGTCAAATGCTGTCTACGTTCTGTGAAATCCACATAATCATTTGTGCAAGCCTGAAAGAGATCCTCAAATGCTCTATTTGGGCTTCTCCTGAAACATGCTAGGCACCAGTTAAATTGGCAAAGTTTTTACGGTTCTTCTATATCCTACAGTGAATAGTCCCTTCTCCTTCTCATCATTGTGCTTCCCTCCCCTGGACTTCCTGCTTCTCATATGCTAAGATGATCCATAAGCCCTATAAAAAAAAAAGAGTAATTTATTTTATATCCCATTCCTTACACATCAGTTCTTAACTATGATGTTAACGGCTCGGGGGCTTCTTTAAGATATTATCAGAATACTGGGAAGTCACTGAATGTCTCAGTGAGGAAATCCTGCTACTGCTTTTAAATGAAAGAGTGATCTACAGAAATGAAAGCTTCTTGTATTTAAAACTAGGTATTCTCTGTCCTTTTTTGTATGATAAAATAAACATAACATAAAATTTGCCATCGTAACCCCTTGTAAGCTTACAACTGGGTGGCATTAAGTACATTCACACTGGCATGCAACCATCACTACCACTCATCTCTAGAACTCTTCCTCTTCCCAAACTCAAACTCCGTACCCAGGAAACACTAAATCCCCATTCTCCCGCCTCTCCAGCCTCTGGTAACCTCTATTCTACTTTCTGTCTCTACCAATGCTCCTATTCTAGTTAACTTATATAAATGGAAACAGACAATATATTTCTTTCTGTGTCTGGCTTCTATCACTTGGCAGAATGTTTCCAAAGTTCATTCACGTTGTAGCAGAATTTGCTTATCCATTCACCTGTTGATGGACCTCTTGATGGGCTGTTTCCACATTTTGGTTACTGTGAAAAATGCTGCTATGAACATTGCCCTCAGTCTTTGAAACATCAAACTATGAAGGTCAACTTTCTTTCACATCAAAGTATCCTCACATACCACAGTGAAGAGTTTTCTCTGTAACGGTTGATACGATGTCACTTCCTTCAAAGTCCAAGAACAAGCCATGTTTGGTCTCTGTCCCATCCCACTGCATGGTGCATCAAGAAGAATTCGGTCAAAAGATTCTGGTAAGAATGGAGGTTTTCCTATGAAGAGAATTATAAACATAATTTGGTATCTGCCTACTGGTCTAGAATAGAAACCTCCTGAGATAGAAACAATTATCAGGAATTTAAAATCATAATCTACACTACAGAGAAAAACAATTTCTCCTTTCAAGTAGCTGATAAAACTAATTCCGACATATGCAAAATGGTTAAAAATGTGATTATTATAACTGAGGGTTATTCTGTTGACACTGTACAAATCAAGGCCTGATCAAATGAAACTCTGAATCCCCAGTGTCAGGAGCCATACTTTATCAGAGGTAGGACCTGGAATTAATTCTAGTCATCCTGAGAGCTGACACTTCTCTTGGCAATCCCTACTGCAGACAGCCCCAGAAAGGAAGAGTACCTGTTAGGTTCTGGTCAAATCTACTGGTTCTGAGGTTCCTCACTCTCCTTGCTTCTGCGCCATCAGCAAGGCTACGCCCTAGAGTAAGTCAGTATCTCCCTGCATCTAATCTTCCACAGGTTTCCCTTTGCATTCACTTGAATAACTTTCCACTAACTTTTAAGCTATTTAAGTGTTACTGGACAAAGTCATGAAACCAAACAGTCTGCTTATATATTTATGCTATCTAACTGCAAGCAAGCCATTACTGCTGACTGCATTCATAGGAAGCCAGTTGATTGTCTACAGTAGCCACAGCAATGTTCTATCACACCAAGATAACCTGCTTTTCTCTGACTGCAAAACTGTCAGACAGGAGCTCTTACCAATTTAACTTATCTCTGTCTAAAACCATCCTTGCTTTCTTACCTGTCTCAGAATATCTTCTCAGTTATTTTTAAGGTTTTTGATACATACTGAAAAAATGCTCTAGAAAGACTATACCAATTTCCATTTCCATTGTGATTATACTTATTCTCCCCAAATCTTCAAAGGATTATTATTTTTATTATTGTTTTATTGGCCATTTGTATTTTTTCTATATATAGTCAAATTCTTTGTTTTGTCCTTTTCCTACTAAGACTATTCTTTGTTTTGTCCTTTTCCTACTAAAACTCTTGTCTTTCTCTTTTTTGAAAGATTTTAATTAATTTACTTATTTGAGAGAGAGCATGCACAAGCAGGGGGAGGGGCAAAAGGAGAAGCGACTCCCCGCTGAGTAGGGAGCCCCCCATGTGGGGCTCGATCCCAGGACCCGGAGATCATGACCTGGGCCGAAAGCAGATGTTTAACCGACTGAGCCACCCAGGTGCCCCCGTTATCTTTCTCTTATTGATTAGAAGAACTACAGGGGTAGTAGCTGCTTTCTGCAGTGATTAGCTCTAGGATGCCTTGGTGATCTTTGCTTTTCCAGCTCTTCAACATCTATTTCACAGATTCCTTATACTACTTATTTATACTAAATTGTCTCTTTTTAGTATAAATTTATAATGAATTCTTTCTGTTGAAATACCTTGTATACTTTTTTTTAATCCTGTGGCCAAATTCTCCCAAAACACAGCTCTCAACCAGTTATTCATTTCCCTTTAACAAAGTAAAACAAAACCAAAAACTATTCCGCCAGTTACCTAAATCTCTGGAATCAACTCCTGAGACTAACAAATACAAGACCATTAACAATGAACAATCTGGCCTCATCCAGATTGTTCTCCGGCCACATTTCTCAGTACTCCCCCATATTCACCAATGTTAAAAACAAACCAACCCACATCACCACTTTGTTACCCAAAAATGTCATGAACTTTCCTATTTCCATGCTTCTACTAATTCTATTCACCTGAGAAGCCCCCTGCATTCATTTCCATTTGTTAAAATGCTGTCTACACTTTCAAGGCCTAACAAATGCCACCTCCTCACTTAAATGCTTTTTCCATCATCCCTCTAAGAAGTAATCCTTCCCTCTGAGTTCCCACAGCACTTGGTATCTTTTGGATGTATGTTTTGTTTTGTTTTTTTAATTTATTCGAGAGAGAGAGAGCACGAGCACATGGCAGGGAGGGGTAGAGGGAGAGGGAGAGAGAATCTGGATCAGACTTCATGCTGAGCACGGAACCCAGTGTGGGGCTCCATCTCCCAACCCTGAGATCATGAGCTGAGCGGAAACTGAGTCGGACGCTTAAATGACTGTGCCACCCAGGTGCCCCTGGCTGTATATAGTCTCTAGTGTTCATGTCTTACTTCCCCCCAGGCACTGACAATACCTTAAAAATATCTGCAAGCCCACAAAATACCTTTGTGTGAACTAGGATTAAGCTATCTACACCTCGGGATTCACATAGTCCTGCCCCAAGATAAACACAGCACAGGTTGGAATTCAGCCCCTCAACATATCCCTCAGCCAGGTGCCCTTGGACAGAGCATAACCATATGCCATGGCTCTGACAGGGGGAGGGACAATAATGCCTCATCACTGAACTCACTGTTCTTAAGAAGTACCATTTTCATAAAAGGTAGTGGATAATTATACAGAAATTGAGAAATTCATAAAAATGTTCTAAACTTATCTAAAATCAGACCAAGATCACCAAATGGCCCCCAAATGTACCTGGTCCAAGAGAAATTTCTCTTGTTCCAAACTAGAAAGCCATGGAGTGAACATTTCACTTATACATTTATACTTAGTATACAACTTTTTACTTATGCAAACCTTTTTCTCTTAATACATAATCTTACAACTACCTTTAGTGATTTCTAAAACTGCATTAGTTTGGAGCGTTGTATAATTAAGGAGCAATTTCATGATACAAATAACGAGACTGAGACAACTTTTGGAATGAGGGTATGCATACCTTCTCCCCAGTGAAACAACTGGTAAAAATTACAACAAAAACCACCATTTAAAGTCTCTAGAAAATGTCCAGGATATATATCAAATGAAGAAACTTATTAAAGAAAATCTAAGAAATGTGAATGTCTGTGGTATCTGAGCCACAATCTGTTCCTTCCTTTGTCCCAACAGCCTCTTCCCTGAAGCTCAGAGTGAAAAGTGATCCATTTCATGTGGGTGCAGCCAAGAACACATGGCTGCCTCTCTCCCTACACTGGAAGTGACAGGCCTGCCAGCATGTCTCAACTCCTCAAGTCCCGAGTTGCTCAATTCCAGGTGAAGACCAGCTGAAAACTCTGGGGCTCCCTTCCTCCATCCAGCCCCCACTCCATACATGGGCAGCTCTAGCCCAGGCAATACCAAAGCCACAACTCTTCTTACCCCCACCTTACAAAAGAACCTCCAAATATAAAAACAAAAACCGGGAGAACTAAAGGGAGAAATATACCATTCAACAATGGTTGGAGACTTCCAAACCTAACTTTCAATAATAAAAATAACAACCAGGCACAGGATCAGAAAAGAAACAGAACATTTCAACACAAAGGAGACCTAACAGATTATCTACAGAACATTCCACTCAACAATGGTAGAATACACATTCTTTTCCAGGGCACATGAATCATTCTCTAAGAAAGAACATAAGTGAGGCCACAAAACACAGATCAGTACATTTTAGAAGGTTCAACTCATACATTTGTTCTCCACCAAAATGGAATGAAAATATGTTAGTAATACAAGGCAATTTGGGAAATTCACAAATATGTGGAAGTTAAAACACATGCTCCAAAATAACCATGGGTCAAAGAAATCATAGGTAAATCATAAAATGATTTGACATGAATAAAAACAAAAATACAACACACCCAAACTTATGGGAAGCAGTGAGACACTGCTTAGAGGGAAAATTACAGCTATCAACACCTACGTCTCTAAAAAAGATCTCAAATCAACAACCTAGACTTCTATCTTAAAACGAGGGAAAAAGAAAAGCAAACTAAAAAATGAGGAAAATAATAAAGGTTAGAGCAGAAATTAATGAAATAGAGAATTAAAAAAAAAAAAAAACAAGAGAAAGGATCAGCAAAACCAAACATTAATTCTTTGAAAGGAGCAACAAAATGGGCAAAACTTTAGCTAGACTGACAAAGAGAAAAGACTCAAAATACTAGTATCAGGAATTACAAAGAGGACTACTGACCTGATGGAAAGAAAAATAATTAAAAAGGAATACTACGAACAACTGTACAGGTAATTTAGATGACATGGATAAATTATTAGCAAAACACAAACTACTGAAAATGATTTAAGAAGAAAGAAAATCTGAATAAATCTATAGTAAGTAAAGAGACTGAATTAATAATTCTTTTTAAAATTTCCACAAAGAGGGACACCTGGGTGGCTCAGTCAGTTAAGCTCAGGTCATGATCCCAGAGTCCTGAGATCGAGTGCGGCATCTGGCTCCTTGCTCAGTGGGGAACCTGCCTCTCCCTTTGCCTACTTTGCCTGCTCTCCCTGCTTGTGTGTGCACTCTCTCTCTCTCTCTCTCTCTCTGTCACAAATAATCTTTAAAAAAAAGAATTTTTTTCCACAAAGAAAAGCCCTAGCCAGATGCTTTCATTCATGAATCTACCTAACATTTAAAAAGAATAATAATTCTTGATAAAAATCTTTCAAAAACAGGAGAAAGAATACTTCCCAACTCATTCTATGAAGCCTGAATAACCGTAAAACCAAAACCCGACAAACACAGCACAAGAAAGAAAACTACAGACCAGTATCTCTTATGAATATGGACACAAATACAAACAAACCCAATCTAGCAACATGTGAAAAAGATTATACACTATGACCAAGTAGGATTTATTCCAGGAATACAAGGTTGGTTTAGCATCTGAAACTCAATCAAATAAAGGTCAAACACCACAAGATCATCTCAACAGACACAGAAGCAGCATTTGACAAAATTTAACACTATTTTATGATTAAAAACACCCAGCAAACCAGGAATAACAGGGAAATTCCTCAGGCTAATAAAGGTTATCTATGAGAAACCTATAGCTAGTTTTAAGTCACTTGAAAGACTGATCAGCAGTGAGATATGGATGTCATCTTTTACCACTTCTGCTTAAACATTGTACTAGAGGTTCTAGCAAGGACAATTAGGCAAGAAAATGAAACAAAAGGCATCCAAATTAGAAAGAA